TGTTGCCAGATGTTTTTCCCTTATTCCATAAGTGCTTAGCACCATATAAGGAAATTTATAAAGATCTTTTAACTAGAAGCAAGCAATCTAAAATTACATACTTTTTGCAAAAGGTAAAGCATGAATCTGAAGATAATGCAGAAAAATGCTCAGATGATAAGGATAACTTGCCAAAAAGCTTTCGGTTAATAATGCTTTTAGTGATGACAAAGAAAACATTGTTTAATTTATATCAATATGTATCACTTAAGAAAATTTTAATAAAGATATTTATCTTAATTATGAAAATATAATAGCATGTTTTTTAATTTTTGGAACCTAACCTTCCTTTTCGTACTAGTTCTTTGTTTTGTATAACATGGATTCGTATAACACGGCAATTTTTTGGAACATAACTACCGTGTTATACGGGGGTTACCTGTATTTATGTATTTTAAGTCTACATTTTAATATTTGGTATTAAAAACACAAATATAATATTGTGAGAGGCTTTCAAATAAGACTGATTTAGCGCTGACATCAATGTAAAGTTGCAGAATCATTAACAAAGAAGGTTTTCCAATGATATATATAAACCAATAGAATCTGATTCTCAGCCCAAAAGGGATTTTTGTCTTGAATAAATTTAAGTGGATATATCTGAGATAAAAGTATGTTAGTTAGTTTTATCTAGATGATATTATTATTTTTCTCATTTGCATATTTCATATATGTAATCATTACTTGAATTGTCAATAATTTCCTTCTGTATTGAGTTTTATAACTTTTATACATAGGAGTAATTAAGAAACTTCAAGCAAAAAAATAAAAATTTGTTTGCTTGAAGTGTCTTAATCTTAATCTTCACTATTGTTACTTTTTGCCCAACAATGCCAGGCTTATCTGCTAGTAAATTATAATAACGAGATAGGTGACATCGAGAAACTCGAGACAATGTTTATCAATGTAATTAGAAGCAGCCATGTTTGAGACTTTATCCAGTCTGGACTGACAGAACTGCATCTGAAACATAATTTTAGTGAGTCGCTTGACACGACTAAAAAACATATATTTGAAATAGTTACATAAAAGTTGGAAATTTCTGATGGTTTGAGAGGAAAGAGTTGAGCCAGTCCAATTCAAAGTAAGGTCAGTAGCTCACATTCGGATTCACCTCAAACTAATACAAGTTTATTCTTATGTAAATTTAATATATATTTTTGAAGAAAATAATTATAAAAGAGTAAGCACCAAATATGTTCGTACAAATGTTTTTGTCTTGATATGAAATAAAGAGCTTAAAATCTAGTTACATTAATGATGCTTAAAGAGTAGGATTCCGATGTGATACATCCCACTATGACGACTCCCACCAGAAAAACTGAACCGCCTGAGCAAAAGACAAAATCGCTTTGTCTCTACCATGCATTAGACCTACACCACATTATCAGTAGTATTGACATATTTTCGGAAAATCCATAAAATATATCAAAAATTGCTAAATTCCATTACTGCTATTGTCCCAACTAAGCAAAAAGTTGTGCCAATTAAGTATTTAAATTATGTATCAGTTTATTAGTTTGGTTTCTGTTCTTTGAGATTTGGCTCAAAAAAAGCAGCTTCCCAAATTAACCAGTGGCGCAAGTAAACGAAATCAACTGTATTTTAGTACAAAAATGAAATCAAAACGTCCACACCTTGAAAAAAATGACAAAGTTTGCATTATTCCAGAAGCTTCCCATTATTAAAGCTTCCCATTATTAGAGCTAGGCAATTGAAGAGCTAGGTAATGTGGCCCCATCTAGTGGGATAAAGGATGTAAATCTGGTTCCTTTTTTTAGGACTTGGATAACTTTTCTGTAGTTCAACTGAAATTCACCAAACTCTGGAAAAACATCAGGCAACTGTCTGACTTTATATTTCAGAAAACAATACCCAAAAATGTCAAAATATTTTTTAGTTATTAAGCATCAAATAGGCAAAAGTCGACACTTTTGTTGTTATACCAAGCATTTTGACACCAAAATCATCAAAATCTAACGTGGAAATTTTGTTTAAAAATTCAGACAAAACAGTGCAAACATTACCTCAGTAGACTGGGCTTTCCCCCAGGTAATTATTGCATTCATCATTATTTTAATATTTTCCTAAATTTAGAAATAAAGATACATAGACAAACTGCTTTTGTTTTGATAGAAAACTAAGTACAGTGGAACCTCAGTATACGACCTTAATCCATTCCTGATGTTTGGACTTATACCGAATAGGACATATACCGAACCAACCTTTCCCATAAGAAGTAATGTAAAAATGATTAATTAATCCGTTCTCATGTAAAAAAAATGGCTGGCTTTAAACACCTCTCTTTCCTGGCTAGTTCCTGCTTGATTTTTCATGAGATCAGCATGTATCTTTTTAGCTTTCTCGCAAATAATTGCCTCCGATACACTGTCTCCAGCACATTGTTTTTCAGTTATCCAAAGCACAAGCAATTTCTCAACATGATCTAATGTCTTCAATCTCTGTTTAGAAATTGATTTAACCCCTTTTGCAATGTTAGCAGATTTAATAATGTCTTTATTTTTTACACTTGTCAATATCGTCGTTCTTGGAATACGGTATGCAACAGTTAAAATCTCGAACACGCATGCCACCTTCATATTTCTCAACAATCTCTTTTTTCAGTTCCATTGTGATCCTAGTAATTTTTTTTAGTTTTACATTGCTTTTCATTTGCCTTTTTTTAATTCATGATTAATAAAAATAATAAAATTTTACTTACAAATTAAAATCAGAAGAAATTTAACAAAGTTATGTCTAGTATGGTCTAGTACACCGATGAATGTCTAGTCTGGTCTAGTACACCGATGAATGTCTAGTCTGGTCTAGTACACCGATAGTGCTACTTGTTCATAGATGGCACATATAATTGAATTAAGTCGTATACAAAACAAAATTTGTTACATCCAAACAGGACGTATTCCGAATTTGACGTATTCTAAAGCAGACATATACCAAGGTACCACTGTACTTTAAAAGTCAAAATACACAAAATTTAAAGGAGAGCACCTTTTTATATTTCTGTAAAAGTTCATTTTATTTAAAACAATTTTTAGCCGCCTAAAGTCCTCTTGTATTTATTGTATACAAATCAACAGGAAATTATATATTTTCTATATTTATAAGAAAACTCTTGATATTAAAAATCCTAACATAACTTAAAATTATAAATACCTAACATAAATCCTGACACAAGTCCTATTCAAAATTTAAAATAATAAATTTAAATTTTTGATAAACTTTTTCAAGCAAAGTTTTTAGTCTTACATTTCATAATGGAAATAAATTTATTTAGATATCAATTAAAATTAAAATAAATGATAAAATATTGATTTTAAATTCAATAATAATAACAAGTAAAACTGTCTAATTAACTCTTTTATATATATAATTATGTAATTCTACTTATTAATAATTTAGTTCAAAAAAGCAACAGTTATTTAACTTATATGAATCATTTTTGACATTTAACTCAATGAGTAAGTAAACAAATAAATTATGGTTGTAATTTGATTCTGAAATATTTTTCATAAATTTAATAAATCTATATAATCATTGGACAAAAAATTTAATGACAGAACAGATATTTTGCCTAATCTGTGAAAGAAGAAATTCAATAATTTTAATGCAATGTTTTTTTTTTATCTATAAATTCTCTAACAAGTTGAAACAGGTTTACACTTGTTTCTTCTAATTCTATGTCACGACTTGGTGCATTTATCGACACTTGACAAATAGTTTCATCATCCACTTTTAATTCATACAGATACGGGCTTTCGTCCCTCTTCAGTCTGTTACATCGATAGTTTGTGACTTGTGTATACAGTATCAGTCAGGCACTTTCCGTACTTCCCACTCCCCTCCCCTCTTCTCCCGACTTGCCCGCCTCCCCATGCCTCGTAACTTGTAACATGTCACTTCCCCGAGTGCTGCACACAGCCTCACATGCGACTGTATAAACATACTATTTTAATAATTGTAGCCAGTTTTTATGAATGTCAATGCTTAGGTTCTTGTTAATATTATTTTTGTCTGTAGTAATTTTGTAGCTTTCCTTGAATTTTCTTTTGTACCAATTTTTTCCCTGTGTACTATTATTGCATCATTCTTATCTATTTTGCAGTTGTGGGTCGTGCAATGTTCGTAAAAAACAGAGTTGATTCTATTATACTTCAGGTCTGCTATGTGTTCTTTTAATCTTGTTTCTAATTTTCGTTTTGTTTCTCCAATGTATACTTTTGGCAATTCACATGTGCAAGGTATTTTATAGACAACTTCGGTAGTGTTGTATTTGTTTGGTTGTTTATTTATGTGAGGTGCAGCTTTCCGAATTCTTTTTTGCAAGTTGTTATAGGTTGGGGCTAGCTTTATATTTATTTTATCAAAACTTTACACTTTTACTCAAGGTTTACACTTTATAACAGAAAGAACTAGCTCCTTACTTTATTGAATACATGCAAAATATACATTGAGGCATTTTTAAGAAAATCAGGGCATAGAATAGGAACTCTCTAAGCACTTCTAATGATGGAGTGCCATGTATTCAAATTCACATGTACACTTCCATAATAAATATATAAAATCATTTATATTATAAAAATATTAATAATCAACTTACCAATATTTAGAGATGTATAGTTTAATAAAAATCCGTGATTATGGACACTTTCATCAGTAACAAATTTCATCCACAGCTGATTGTGTGTAGAATAAATTGGTTCTGGAAGAAGAGTGCCACAGAATTTTTNTTTGATTAAAAACGAAGAAAAATTAAATGTTTATAATAAAATTATTACAATTATTTATCCATTTTTAATGATCTGTGCTGTTAGATAGTGTCCTATGATAAGGTCATGTGACTACTAATTGCCCTTAGAATTCTTGTTGTTGCTCTCTTCACATTAGGACACGTGTGCAACTCCTGTTACCCTGTGTTCATTTGTGAACACTTAATGTGTATCCTAATGACAATACAATAAGCTGTGTTGCTGTTATAAATTTCAACTGTCCATTTATTGAGAGCATAGCCAAACATTTGGCTATGCTCTCTACCGAAGTGCTGAATATTCAGCAAAATATGTGTACATTTCGTGGGTGACAGGTTACAACCTGTCTCATTGCAGTGGGTGTGGTAGCAACACCACAGGTGCATTTATTTCATTGGCGAGTAGATCATGTCACAACAAGCATTACTTGTTCATTGTTACATCAAATTGTGTTACTGATAGTCCTTATTACTAAAAAAATATCACGGTTTGTTTGCCAAAAGCTTTAAAAAATGGCACTATTTATAAAAAAATTCGCATATTTGGAAATATTATGAATTTGTAGTGAAGATAATAAACTGGCTGTGTGTTTGCTGTGTAACAACAAGATCTCATGTGGTGGAGAAGGAAAGAAAGCAAGTAAGTAAAATCTTATTATGTATTAATTAAGTGAAACAATTTTCATCATATTTAGTATTTAGCACTTGTAATTTTTTATTCCTTGTTTTTTTGCCTGGTACTTTATTTCACACGTAGCATTTCATTGATAAACTTGATATAAATAAGTCATATTTTTAAATATACATTTTATTTATTATCTTTGAAATTCAGAGGCTTAAGTGAAGCCAGCATAATACATGTTTAAGCTAGTACCCTTCTTTGATTTCAGATTTTTCATTGTTTAATTATTGTGTTTATTTTTCTTTTTTGTCTACAGCTACAACTTCTTTGAAAAACCACCTTAAAAGCAAACATGCTGAGCAGTACACTACATTAACTGTTGCTCCCTCAGCAAGTGGCAGCAAAAATGATGGTACTCTTACTTCTACCGATTCCAAGATACTGGCAGTACCAGGTATGTCAGAAAAGAAACAGTTAACTCTGAAGGGAACAACTGAAAAGAAATTGTTATGGGATATTAATGATCCGAAATCAATAAAATATCATTATTTAATCAGTGAAATGATTGCCTTAGACAATGAACCATTATCACTTGTTGAACAGGTCGGCTTTAAAAGGCTTATGGAAAAGGCAGTACCTCAATACAAAATACCTGGTCACACTTACATAACCAAGAAAATTATTCCTGATATATATAATAGAATTTGCTCTAAAATTGAAACTAGTATTTCACGAGCAACAGCAGTATCAGTGACATCTGATATGTGGCCATGTCAACACAATAACCATAGTTTCTTGAGTTTCACTGTGCATTGGATATCTCCAGAGTTTATTCTTGAACGTGGCATTTTAGCAATGAAGCCGTTTGCTGGCTCACATACTGGTACCAATATCGCAAAAAAACTCAATGCTATTGCAGAAAAATGGAATATTCCTCATAGCAAGATCCATTTACTTGTCCATGACGGTGGAGCCAATATGATAAAAGGTGTACGAGACGCAGAATATGATTCTGCCAATTGTTTTATTCATTCACTGCAATGAGCTGTCAAGGAATCACTAAAGTCTCAAATGGAAATAACACAAATGGTAGTTGCTGCAAGATGAATTGTTACCCATTTTAACCACTCTGGTATAGCACAAGAAAAGCTGAAATGCATTCGCCAAGAACTTAACTTGCCAAACCACCAACTAGTACAAGATGTAAGCACATGCTGAAATTCTACATTTTATTTAATGGAGTAATTATTAGAACAAAAGCAAGCTGTTTATTTGTGCATAACTGATCACAAGTCTTTAAACAATTTAACACTTTCTCAGTGGGAGCTAATGGAACAATGTATCAAACTCCTCAAACCGTTCAAAGAGATTAAGAAAATAACCAGCTCAGGTATTTCCTGCATCTCTGAAGTGTTGTCACATTTTGAAATACCTGGGGAAGGAAAACACTGCAGATAGAACACCAAATTTATTGAGAATGAGATATTCATTACAAGTTGAATATCTTGAAACATGGTTCAATTTTATCTTGAACCATGGTTCAATAGCTTGAAACATGGTTCAATTTTGATGAGAATGACAAATATCTGGTTGCCATTTTTCTTGACCCGCGTTTCAAAACCAGTTTCCTGAGATTAGTTCAAACACAAAGAGCAAAACAAAAACTTCTTTTAGAAGCTCTGAAAATTAGTTGAGATGAGTCTACTAGTACCGATGAGGATTCTTCTCTACTTTGTAAGAAAAGAAATATCAATGAAAATGATAAAACCATTGAAATACACGACAGTTTCTAGAACTGTTTTGAGGAAGTCCCTACAGAAAATATGCAAAATGATGAGAATGTGAAGAAGAAAAGTGCTATTGCAAATGAGATTGACTTTTATATGAAAATTGTTTGCCTAGATTGGACAGCAGACCTTTACAAGTGGTGGTCAGCAAATGCAAAACAGTATCCAAGCCTGACAGAATTCGCTAAGATTCATCTATCATCTCCTAGCAGTAGTGTACATAGTGAGAGGCTATTTTCAGAAGCAGGTATAGTTTGTGAGGAAAGTGCAATCGTTTACTATCAACAAATGCTGAAAAAATTGTTTTCATTCATCACAACTTACCACTGATAGATTTTAAGTATTAATTTGTGATTAAAATGAATACATTTTTGAGTAATATGTGCATATTTTTTTTTTTCATGATTTGGTATTCGGTATTTGGCCGAATACCAAACATTAAAAAAAGTAGTCAAACAGGCCGAATACCGAATAGTAGCCGAATATTCTTGGCATCACTACTAAATATCAACAAAACTTAAACTGAAAAAAGGCAATGTTATGTTTGGGACAATTTATGGTTATCTTGGGAAAATGCCCAAATTATATATCAAATTAAAGCATAATTAAATTAATTATCTGTGAATGATTTCAATATTCTTTGTGTGTTCTCTTAGATTTTTTGAAAATTTTTCTCTATTGTTAAGTCATAAAAATTATTAAATTGTTAAAACATTTAAATTCAAAACATTAGTAATAACTAATAATTAGGTAAAATAGTTTGTTTATACAATTTGCTTAATCATATTTATTGAGCTACAATTTGAAAAGATTTTAGATCTATAAATTGCCACTGTCATCCGTCTTTCCTTAATCTCAAGAATATAGTTAAATAGATGAAAGATAAGACAAGATATGAAAACCTTAGAGGCAGGAGGCCCTGATTAACTGTATACCAGAAGTCATAAAACTTCAATTAAAAATTTTCTTCTGAAAGGTGTTAGATAGATGACAAGCATGACTCCATTTATTAACAGGAAAGTATGTTGTACAGGGGCAAGATGCTACAGTACTAATTTGAGATGGAGAACATATATTTTAAATTAAATTAAATTAAAAATATGATTAAAAATTTCAGCTTGGCACAATAAATAATTGCTCGTAATTAAAATATATTCACTTAAAATTTAAAATTTATAAAGTTATAGTAATTAAGGTTTATTTAAATCCCATTCCATTAAAATTTATTTTGTTGATTCTAAAATTAAAAATATTGTTTTTAAATACTATTTATAAATGTTTTTACATAATTTTGTTATTATTTCTACACCTTGCTGTAAGTTTACAATGTTTACTCCATGTTTCTTTGAATGCTTTTAGCTAGCCTTTCTAGGTCAATTTAATTTTAACAAAGTCTGATGGTTCTTTACAGTAATATAGCCAGAAATTTAGCAAGAAAGATGCAACTAAAAAAATTCAGATATATCTAATATTTAAATAAAATTTCAATACAAAATTACACATATTATGTTATCACATAATTTTATAACATTATTGATATGATTGGTTTATAGCAACCAAATCTAATATACAAATAATAATTACATGAAATCAATGAACAAATCATACACAGACTTGAGTAGGTTTATATAAATATGAATAAAAAATCATGTTTTGTTACTAAATATTCAAATATGAACTGTACAGTTTAAATTCAGATACTTATGTGACAACTAGCTTAAGTTTACTTTTATACTTGCATATAAAAATTACAATTGTTAAAGAAAATGGATATTAGTAATAGAGGGTGTAATTTCTCCCTTGCATCTGCTTGCTGCACCACTGGTTCTTTGCTTTTAATGTTTTTAATTCTTGATGTTTTAACTTTGAAACAAGTTAGAGGCCAGTTAAATTTCAATTGCTCAGTATGTTAAACTTTTAAGAGTATTTTACATCACAATCCATATGCTCTTATATATGAATATAAAAATTTATACTTATTTAAGTTTTAAATTATCTAGTTCATAAACTGTCTCAAGAGACAAAACAATTAAAATTTAACTTCTTCATTATATGTGATTTAGCATAAATAAAAACAAATTTTTTAATGTTTATAAACATATATGAAAAAAGAAATAAAAGACAAAAAATCAATACTGATTAGATTTCATTTTAAAGTTGCTTGTGAAGTAAGTGTTAAAGTAAGTTCTAAGCTTTATTTTTAAAATGAAGTCATTAATTATTATAAATACTCACTTCTAAGTAATCATACATACAATCATAGTGATCTTCTATATCAAGAAATGAAAACTGTGCTTCAATCATGTATGCAAGTGGTACCTTAATAGTAAATATACAAGTTCTGTTTCCTGGATATTGATTAGGATAATTAGGAGAATGAACTATTCCAGATAATGATGTATATTCCCCACCACAAGCTAAAAATTATTAAGATATAAATATATGATTAAAAATTGGATAATTTTAAATTAATTTATTAAATTATAAATATTCAATCTAAAAATCAAATACATTCAGATTATTAATATAACTTAAAATAAATTTTAGATGCTTTTAATATTCTGATTACTTTTTTCTATCTAATTCTGAATTAGATGTGAATCTTTAAAAATTATTAAAATATTAAATCTATTAATAATGTTTTATCATACTTTTAAAATATAGGTAATATTTATAAGATAAAAATATTTGAAATTTTGAATGAATTCTCAGGGATTTATAAATTTCACAATATTTATGTTGCAATTTTAATTTTGGCTCTTCTGTAGTGAAAACCTTCTATTTGTACTCAAGCTCTTGGAATTTGTCATCCAACTTTACTTTCAATCATATGAATTCATGATTTTACATTGTTTTTGATCTAGTACTTATATACATATTGGAAAAAAGTGCTCAAATGACTGATCATTTTTAAATCATTGTTCTTTAATTTTAGTCTATATATTCAAATTTCATATTGTAAATGACCAGCTGTTAGATGTTAAAATAAACTTCTCACTTTATACAACAATCTGACAGTTTTCTTTCTCATTATATGCATTCTTCTTTAACAATTCATCTTTTCATGAGTTCTATTGAAGTCATAATAATCAGTTGCTGATTTCCTTCAATAGAAAAAAATTGGGAAAATAGATTCTTTGAATTTTTATTCGAATTGAATTCTAGACTTAAATTCAAAAATCATAAAAGATTTTTGAATTTAAGTCTAGAATTCAATTCTTTCTTAGCCTAATCTTTCCAAATCCCAACTTAAAATTATTTTTTCTTCATATAATGTAGAATCTTTCTTCTCTGACAGGTTAATCCATCTTATTTCAGACATGAAACAGAGATCCATAGCAGTAGTATGTCAAATAAATTTTTATTGCAAATTAACTTTTAGTTCAGAAACAATAATCAAAAAATAGAGAAAACCAACTCAAAACAAAGAAGAAAAAAGAAAAGAAATAAAAATATCACATAATACTGTATTACTGACATTCCAAAACTGAAATATTGTTGGCAATTAAACATGAAGAATATGAGACATTCATATGCTTAGGAACATTATTAATGCTAGNAAAAAATCAATACTGATTAGATTTCATTTTAAAGTTGCTTGTGAAGTAAGTGTTAAAGTAAGTTCTAAGCTTTATTTTTAAAATGAAGTCATTAATTATTATAAATACTCACTTCTAAGTAATCATACATACAATCATAGTGATCTTCTATATCAAGAAATGAAAACTGTGCTTCAATCATGTATGCAAGTGGTACCTTAATAGTAAATATACAAGTTCTGTTTCCTGGATATTGATTAGGATAATTAGGAGAATGAACTATTCCAGATAATGATGTATATTCCCCACCACAAGCTAAAAATTATTAAGATATAAATATATGATTAAAAATTGGATAATTTTAAATTAATTTATTAAATTATAAATATTCAATCTAAAAATCAAATACATTCAGATTATTAATATAACTTAAAATAAATTTTAGATGCTTTTAATATTCTGATTACTTTTTTCTATCTAATTCTGAATTAGATGTGAATCTTTAAAAATTATTAAAATATTAAATCTATTAATAATGTTTTATCATACTTTTAAAATATAGGTAATATTTATAAGATAAAAATATTTGAAATTTTGAATGAATTCTCAGGGATTTATAAATTTTACAATATTTATGTTGCAATTTTAATTTTGGCTCTTCTGTAGTGAAAACCTTCTATTTGTACTCAAGCTCTTGGAATTTGTCATCCAACTTTACTTCCAATCATATGAATTCATGATTTTACATTGTTTTTGATCTAGTACTGATATACATATTGGAAAAAAGTGCTCAAATGACTGATCATTTTTAAATCATTGTTCTTTAATTTTAGTCTATATATTCAAATTTCATATTGTAAATGACCAGCTGTTAGATGTTAAAATAAACTTCTCACTTTATACAACAATCTGACAGTTTTCTTTCTCATTATATGCATTCTTCTTTAACAATTCATCTTTTCATGAGTTCTATTGAAGTCATAATAATCAGTTGCTGATTTCCTTCAATAGAAAAAAATTTGTAAAATAGATTCTTTGAATTTTTATTCAAATTGAATTCTAGACTTAAATTCAAAAATCATAAAAGATTTTTAAATTTAAGTCTAGAATTCAATTCTTTCTTAGCCTAATCTTTCCGAATCCCAACTTAAAATTATTTTTTCTTCATATAATGTAGAATCTTTCTTCTCTGACAGGTTAATCCATCTTATTTCAGACATGAAACAGAGATCCATAGCAGCAGTATGTCAAATAAATTTTTATTGCAAATTAACTTTTAGTTCAGAAACAATAATCAAAAAATAGAGAAAACCAACTCAAAACAAAGAAGAAAAAAAAAGAAAAGAAATAAAAATATCACATAATACTGTATTACTGACATTCCAAAACTGAAAGATTGTTGGCAATTAAAAATGAAGAATATGAGACATTCATATGCTTAGGAACATTATTAATGCTAGAGTTTTTGAAAATAAAATCCAACCAACTTTGTAATAGTCCTAAAAGTTAAATATTTGATTGCTTTTTTAAATTATATCATAAATTCGTATTTAAACTAATAATAGTTTGTGAAATAATTCATATAAATTAATGATAATTGATCAATGATTTATTAAAGATACGATAGCGGCAGTTGATGTGAAAGACTAAGATCATATTGTCAGCAGAAAGGAATCTTGTATCTGCTGCTTAAACACTTGTTACTGATGATGTCATTATTCGATTTCATACTTTTCTACAGTGTTGTTTAGAAAGAGTGAGAGACTGTTCTGATGATTTTGGCCACCTCTCAATCTATATCTAGATAGCAATGAAAAATGAGATAGAGTAAAACAAAGCAAGAGAAGGGCCCCTTGTTTGTTTACTTTATCCCATCTTTCTTTCCTATCTGGCAGTGATATTTCATATTTTCTGTCCACTCCTAAGAATGGCCCAAGTCAAAAACTTTAGCATTTCTCTAACTTCATCCATTGTGAAAGGTCTAATTGCTTAATTCAGTAGATAAAGTATAAATTTANCCAAAACTGAAAGATTGTTGGCAATTAAAAATGAAGAATATGAGACATTCATATGCTTAGGAACATTATTAATGCTAGAGTTTTTGAAAATAAAATCCAACCAACTTTGTAATAGTCCTAAAAGTTAAATATTTGATTGCTTTTTTAAATTATATCATAAATTCATATTTAAACTAATAATAGTTTGTGAAATAATTCATATAAATTAATGATAATTGATCAATGATTTATTAAAGATATGATAGCGGCAGTTGATGTGAAAGACTAAGATGACATTGGCAGCAGAAAGGAATCTTGTATCTGCTGCTTAAACACTTGTTACTGATGATGTCATTATTCGATTTCATACTTTTCTACAGTGCTGTATGGAAAGAGTGAGAGAAAGTTCTGACAATTTTGACCACCTTTCAATCTATATCTAGATAGCAATGAAAAATGAGATAGAGTAAACAAAGCAAGAAAAGGGCTTCTTGTTTGTTTACTTTATCCCATCTTTCTTTCCTATCTGGCAGTGATATTTCATATTTTCTGTCCACTCCTAAGAATGGCCCATCAACCAGGTCAAAAACTTTAACATTTCTCCAACTTCATCCATTGTGAAAGGTCTAATTGCTTAATTCAGTAGATAAAGTATAAATTTATTACTTCTATAATTTATTAATTTTTATTATAAATAAACATTAAAACAATTATATAAGTTCTTACCAGTAATATAATGTATTCGAAATCCTTTATCTGTATAAGAACCATCAGTGTGAAATCTAATAAATAATTTATTGGATGATGATACTACTGGTAAAGGTATATTATTACTGCAGTATCTTGCAAGTAAATTTGCAGTTTCATCTTCTCCATCATATATCTAAAATTCAAAACATAAGTAATGAATATATAATTTATAATAAAATTTGTTCATTAAAAGCAAATAAATGTTTACCTCTACATGATCATATTCACAAGAATAATGATGTTCTAAATCAAAAGTGAGAAATTCTAGTTCAATTCGATCCTGTGGTTGTAGTCTAATCAACCAATCACAATCAATAGAATTATCATATTCATTTGGAAAATTAGGAGAATTAATGTAACCTTCATACGTAGTAAATAAACCACCACATCCAGGTGATCCTATATAAAAGTTATGATAAATAAATGTAATGAAAATAATAGATATTCGTATAACCAAAATGAATAATAATAATAATGATTTCATAATGGATTACTATATTGAACTTTCTTCTCCTAAAGAAATTTTAATATCAAAAATTTTGATTCTCACCATCAATTTTAGTACGGCATTTTATAGAGAAGTTTTAGATAAAAATGCTTGGGTACCCACTGGTATCTCTACTATAAAAGGAATCATAGTGTTGCATTTAAAAAAAGTAAGGTTGGAGTCAGATCACACATTGCAAATTTGCTGGAGTCAGAGTCAAATTCAGACATTTTGTTTACCAACTCCATTACACTGATTCAAACTGTAGTCCATGATTCATGGATCACAGTTTGGATATCTGACAACAAATAGTCTGCAAGTTTGGATATCTGACAACAAATAGTCTGCAAACAGTTTATTACTGAGCCAGAATGAAATTACACTTAAAATTTCATAATTATACATTATGTTCATAAAATGATTTTAAAATGTCTTAAAAATCTAACCAATTCAACCAAAAGTAGTAGTGGACTCCTAGGAGAAAGGACAATAAGTGACTACTTCTTAATATTGGTCTACTATTAATATTTGAAAAGTGATCCATGTTAGATAGGATGTGATGGCCCCACATGTGATCAAAGTTGCTAACCTTAATGTTTGAAAGATTTTGTATAAAACATGTTTAAATAAAAAAATCTTTCATTTGTAACAAAGGGCTGACAAATTTACAATTTAAAAAAATGTAACAGAGACTAAAAATGTCTTCACTCTTTTAGTCTCTATTATGTTTTTTAGAAATAAAAAAAATCTTGTAAAAATGTTAGAATAATTTCTTTTATGTAATAATAAAGTGTTTATATTTTGGCAACAGATTGTATAAACTACATGGGAAGTATGTTCTTGTAAATATCACATTCATAGAAAAATTATTGGGCTAAAATTTGAAAAACTGTAGACCTATAAATTCTGATTGTTGTCCTATCCGTTGCCTGTCTGTCCTTTCTTAATCTCAAGAGAGGAGTTAGGTAGATGAAAGTGGAGACCAGATGTGGAAAGCATAGGAGGCACAATGCCCAGATTAATTATACACAAACTTTCCATTTGGAAGGAAGTCACTCCACTTCAATTCAAAAATTTTTTCCTTAATGGAGTTAGATGACCAACACAACTTAGTTGCTAACAGGAAAAGTATGATGCACAGGGGCAACTTTTCACAGGATAACACTCCATTCCACATAGGTAAGTGCTATATGCTACCTGCTGCATGTCTATTTCACGCTATATCATTGTCGCAGCAATTAAGTGAATATAATATATATATCGTTTTTTATAAGAATTATATGTAGTTTAATATTTTGTTAAATTTTTTGCTAATAGATGGCATTATGTGTAAATCAGCAAATCGAATGTAGATTAAAATTAATTGAATTTGCAGAAATCCAATAGATATTTTGGGGTGGGATGAAAAACAGTATCTAGGTTAAAAATATTTAAAACATGACTTATAACCTATGAGTTTCATAGCAATTGGTCAAACAGCCTAGGAATGTATAGCGAACAAACAAACAATCATCATATACATATATAGATTATAGTATGTAATTTAATTTATATAACTATAAAGATTATCTTATGTAAGGGACCAAGTGACCAATTATCACACCAAGTGACCGATCTAACACATTTTTAAAGTTCTTTATTCCTCTACTGCAGTGGTTCTTAATCTTTTTATACTCGCGGCCCACCAAATATTTCATAATTTTTTGTGATCCCCATTTTTTTAATAATTTATTTGGTTTCATTGCTTCATTGGAGAGAACTACACCACATATGAAATTCCTTGAACTTCTATGCTTACGAACCCATATTTGATATAATCACAATCATATTTTCTAATTTTAATGTTTCTTAATTTTATACCTTTAGTTTTAGGACTTGTGGTTTTTTCCATTGCATTTTTTCAATGTATCATCATTGGAACTTTCACTAGTATTTTCTTCACTATATTTTCTATTTGAACATCCTGGTCCGCGATTACTTACATTAAAAAATTTTCTAATGTTTCTTTCTGTTTTTTGCTCATTGTTATGGGTTAATTATAAATAAACTAGTAGCCCAGGACGCCCCCTAGTGGGCATTCTTTACAAATTTCCATGAGGCACAGTTCCTTTGACTTTTTTGTTTCTATCAATATGCTCTACAGCTCAGTTAAAGCCCCAATGGTAAGATTTACCCTCTGAATGAAGGATTGGCAACCCACCAAACTGTAGCCCCTCTGTGAGAACAATAAAGTCAAAGGAATCATATCCCNCCAATATGTATTTTAAAATACATTTTGTTTTTTTTTTAATAATATATTTTTAAAATCTGTGATATCTTTAAACTTACAGGGAACTGTAACAAGCAATATGTATTATATATAATGTTTTTTTTTTTCATTTTTTAATAACATTTAGCACCGAGATTCTCAAATAAGAGGAATGCATACTTCGTTTAAGGCAGCTGAGCAAAGAAAGATCATTTAAAATAATGAAAGTTTTTGTATATGTTAACTTTTTTTGATGTAAACTAGAATTTCAATTCACAATATGTATACATACATAAACTTTTAAATATAAATGATAAGAAAATACTGCTTTAGTGATATGCCTTGTGAAAGCTGCAACTACAGCATGATTTCTATTCTAATATACATCGTGAATTTTCCATTACTGTACCTTGTCTCCTTCAAAAGCATCATTGTTAATTTATGTAATTATATATTTTTTTTTTCCTTGGAATCACTTTCCAAATTAGTTCTCTATGATAGCAAAAATGTTTTAACGACAAGCAATACTCCCACAATGATTGTTTTGATCCTTCATTAAATTTACTTATATTATAAATTTATAATGATCTTTTTTCTGGAAAATAAGAAAAATTTATTAATGCATTACTACACATTATTATTATTATTATTGTTAAAATGCTAAATTAGCAGCTTACTAAATATCACTGTTTATTGGATTGTTGTTGGATTTCTATTTTCTCTACAGTCATGTCAGGATTCATCATGGTGGCCTCCTGAATGGCTTCTACCAGTGCTTGGTCGTGATCAACGGGATCGCCGTCACTCTGTATTGTAATTTTTTGTTCCACTCGTGTCTCAACCACTCCATTTTTCTCTGTTTTATACTACGTAGCAAATAAGCAAAGTTTAATATTATAATTTTATTAATTTTTAAAAATACTAATTCTTAAATTTGTTATTTATATATAAATTATGCATACACATATGAATAAGATCTATTTAAAAAATTATTGAATACAATTATATTAATTTTTTACAATAGAGAATAAGAATGTGCTACTTAACAGTTATTGTTTCAACAGTTCTTGTTTTACTGGAGACAGTTGAAGTGCTGATTATTTCACCTATTTCCTCTGATGAAGACAAGTTTGGTGGAGGACTTTGAGATTTTGGTGTTTGATTTGGAGGATATGTCACTTTACGTGTCTCTGTGGCAACAAGAGGAACAGTTGTGGTAGAATGTTGTTCGTTACTTACTGACGTAGGACTGTATTTGATTGTTTCAGTTTTCACAATAGCTGGCTGAAAGACAATTTTTAAAAAATGTAATATATACTTTAAAAATAATTTTTAAAATGTGTCAGATTGGTCACTTAGTGCAATAAGCCTTACATTAAATAACCTTTGTAGTTATATAAATCAAATACTATAATATTGTGGTGAACGCCATCCTTCACATCTCAACCGTCGTGAAAAACAAGCAACAAACCCTGGGTGGTATAAGTCATCACTTTCTAAAACAAGTTTGAACTCACCCAGTAAGAACATTGACTGTTAGTTGTTCTTTTGTTAGCCGCATCGTCGAGACATGTACCATACACGCTAAAAGACAATAAACTCAGTTCTGTTACAATCAAGTCTCATTCATTTTTATCATGCNAACTCACCCAGTAAGAACATTGACTGTTAGTTGTTCTTTTGTTAACCGCATCGTCGAGACATGTACCATACACGCGAAAAGACAATAAACTCAGTTCTGTTACAATCAAGTCTCATTCATTTTTATCATGCGCAGTGACAAAAAGTAAAACAATAGTAGTAAAAACATTACAATATAATACATTGTAATAGAAGGATTAGAAGTAAGAAATAATCTAATTTGTTGTTATTTATTTCCCAGGCAATGCTGGGCTTATCTGCTATTAAATTCTATCTAAAAAATGTTTAGCATAATTGCATAATCCTTATCTGTTTTTGCAATTTTATATTTTGTTATTGTATTTTTCTTACTAATTTAGTCTAAAATTTAAAACAAAAACTAAAAAACCTGCATTTGAACTCTGTTCTCTCCATTGTATAATTATTTTTTATTTAATTTCACAAAAAATAATTATACAATGGAGAGAACAGAGTTCAAATGCAGTTTTTTATTTTGTTGGAGAAGCACCATTCTAGATGATAATAAAGCAATTCATCATTTAAAAAAAACACAAAAAGTTCATTTTGTATATTAAAAACGTTAGAAGACATGAAACATTTTGTTTTCCAAAACATAATTAGGATATGTAAACTGAATTAAAATCTTTGTCATATAAATATGGAAGAATTATATCTGCAGAAAAACTATGATGACAGTTCTCTATATTTGCTATTTTCTTCTGTATCAATGATTCACAATATTTTGGACTTTTTTACGAGTCCAATAACATTGGGTGCAAAATTTTACACATAGAAAGTATATATGATGGGGACAGGTAAGCAGTTAAGTAAACACCACAGAGACATCTAGAATCATGTCTAAACATTTCAAAAAAAAAAGGGTCAAGGTATCAGCAATCCAGTCATCTCTACATAAAGCTCACTAAAAATGACAAAGAGACCTTCTCTATAAAGAATCAGAGTAGAACATATAGGATACTGGTCACAGATAACAACAATGACAACAGTCTTTAACTGGATAGC